GACAGATGGCAATCATCGCAGTGGGTTTTATCGCAGCATTCCATGTCCCTTTGCTTTTTGTCACTTTGAGGGGTCACTTAAGCAGCTGGTATTTAATCGCCTGCGTATTTAATTCATAATGCTTTTCTTTTGTGTAACAGCCATAAATCGAGATCTAATTTTTACTGCCAAATGATGGAATCAATTTCCAACGCATGTAATGCTCCGATTCGTTTGTCAGAATTTTTAGTTCACCCTACTTGACGATATTGTCGATTGCTTAGTCCGCGTAACCACAATGGCACGCTGGGGGTTCCTTTTAGGTGGTGGTTAATCCTGGCAGAGGTCCTTCTGATCTGTTCAAGTTTGCCCATTGTTTACAGATCAAGTGGAATCTGAGCAGATTCTTGTCAGATCGTCGATTAAGAGTTTGTTTGTTTGACACGTTGGAATTCTGCTAGATTTTCTACCATCCGTAATAGAAATCGAGAGATGGATGGTTTGTACAATGGTTTCCTCGATTTGAGTCTTGCCGTTGTGTTGTTCTTGAGGTCTTGCTGAACAGGCATATTTGGTTCATTTTGGACTTTGCGCTGCCTCCTTTAGGCGGATTTGGCGCCTTCGTATCCCGGATAGAGTTATTTTTGAGAGTAACAGTAACCAGCATAGTGGGATGCTGTGGAGGGTTCTTGCTATGACCGTCATTTGGTTGTTAAGGATGGCGTCGAGGTTCCGTATATGGCTGCTTTAAATCCACGCCTTTACACAGTACTCCGTTGTAAAGTATGCAATAGCAAGGGCTGTTGTTTGCATGGTGTGATAGGGGCATCAGATCCTCAGCTTGTTCCCGCTAGTTTCTGAATTATGTTGTTCCGAACCTTAGTCTTGACAACAAATCAGTCAGCGTCAATTGTGAATGTTTTAGGCTTAATAACCGCACCACAGCTGGTTGTCATGGACGTTTATGCCTACGTCTATAGTTGAGATCAAGAGAGGCAGATGCATTCCGTAAAAAGCTTTAACGGTTTTTTCATCACTTTTGATTTCTCGTTATCTCTCATTACCTTTAGCCGCAGGGGCGTCAGTGTAGCAAGTTTTAAAAGTGTCCACTATGCTCTTCTGCCATGCGGTTGATCTGTTGCCCATTTCGGTCCTTAACATCATTTTGTACCCGAATCTTCATTGGTCATTTGAACTTCTTTTCTTCGACGGTGCCTTGCGACATGGCTATTTTGTGCTCTCTGCACTG